ATTCATGTTTCTTGGTTCGGTAGGCCAATAGTACTGCTTCAATACATTGATCCCATTCCTTTTCTTCAGAGAGTTTCACCAAATATTCACCTATAGTTCTGTTGAATCTTTCTACCATTCCATTCGTTTGAGGCCTATACAGTGAAGTTAATCGATGTTTGGTTTGCCAATCCTTGCATAGCTCATTTACCCATTGGTTGTTAAATTCAGTGCCTCTATCTGTCAAGATGATTTCTAGTACTCCATGTCTACAAATTATTTCTTTAAATATGAATTCTGCTACGTCAGTAGCTTTTGCTTGCTTCAAGGGTTTCGCTTCAGGCCACTTAGTAAGATAATCCATAGCTATTATGAGATATCTATTTCCATTTGTTGTTACTGGCAGAGGTCCTTTTATATCTATATCAATTCAGTTAAAAGGTCCCTTCACCGGTATTGGGTGAGGTTCTTCTGTCCTTTTGGGCTTTCCTCTTCTTTGGCATGTGTCACAATGTTGAATGTATTTTCTAACACTTTCATACATCTGTGGCCAATAATACCTTTCTTTCAATTTTTCATAGGTTGCTTCTATTCCAAGATGTGCTTCGGTAAGATTCTTATGCAGATTGAATAATATCAGTTCAGTTTGTTCAGGTAATATAACTCATTAGGGTTATCCATTCTTGTGTCGTTTGAATAAATGTTGTTCCGTTGTAAAATACTTGTTGGATTGTTTTCTAATTTGGGATTTCTGTTGTTCATTTGCCTTTTCCAGGTATGTGAGGGTTGTTAAATATTTGAATATATCATCATATTCTCCCTTATTCATTTCTTACGATGATTGGTTGTTGAGGATGTTTGTATCGGAATTCTGGATAATGCGTCAGGTACTGAGTTATATTTTCTTTTCTTATGAATGATCTCATAGTTGTAGTCTTGCAGAATCATTCTCCATCTGGAATGTCATCTATTAGTGCTTTGATTATTATTTAGTAGCCATACGAGTGCGTTATGGTCAGTATAAATCTTAAATTTTCTTCCATGTAAATAATGTCTAAACTTTTCTAAGGCCCATATTACAGCGAGGGCTTCCAGATTTATAGTGTTATAGTTTTGTTCATATTTGTGCAGAGTTTTACTATTATAAGCAATAGGATGTTTCTTCCCTTGTTCATCTTTTTGTGATAATATTGCTCCTACTGCTACTTTTGATGCATCAGTTGTCAGGATGAATTCTTTATCCAAGTCTGTATATGATAGCACCAGTTCTTTTATTAAACATTCCTTTAATATTTCAAAGGAATTTTGTTGTTGTTCTTCTCATTGGTATTGACCTTCAATTTCCAATAGTTTGAATAATGGCTTTGCAGTTCTTGAAAATTCTTTAATAAATTTTCTATAATATGCTGTCATTCCAATGAACCTTCTGAGTTCTTTCTGATTCCTTGATTCTGGATAATTTTTAATCTTGATCACCTTTTTTGGATCTGGTTTAATCCCATCGATTCCCACAATATGTCCAAAGAATTGGACTTCCCTTGATGCGAAGTGACATTTGTCAGGGTTGATTTTTAGTCCTGCGCCCCTAAGTCTCGACATTACTTCTTTTATATGTTCCATATGTTCATCCCATGTTCTTGAGTAAATGGTGATATCATCGATGTAATCTAGGGCAAACTTCCATAATATATCTCCTAACATGTTGTTCATAAGTCTTTGGAATGTAGCTGGGATATTGCATAATCCAAACGGCATAACATTATATTCGTATAATCCATACTTGGTAATGAATGCTGTTTTCTCCTTATCTT